GGGCGCCAGGGTTACAGGCGCCCAGAGGGTTGGGCCCCAGGCGACGGCCCTCTGGGGGGCTGCCTCTGCAAGCCTTCCGGCGAAACAGCCTCGAGGCCAGCGCGGCGCCGCTGCAAAGGCATCCACCGCGCCAAGAAAGGATCCCCTGTAGGTCTCAAACTGGGCACCGCGATGATTGGAGGGGGCATGCCCCCCCCCCCCCCCCCCCCTCGCCCCAGCGCCCCCAGAAACTTCATCACGGCCAGGTGATCGGGCATTGGGCACGCGCGGTTTGGCAAGGTTGCCCCCCCCCCCCCCCCCCCCCGCGTCCTCCAAGGCATTCCTGGGGCGGCAGCCGCGGATCTGAGCCAGCCCAAATCTCCGTGGAGCAAAGCCTCCTGCCCTGCCCACGTTTTTGTTACTTCCTTTCGGCGGCTGGCATGGTCGGCGGCCTCGGCGGCGGAGCTCATCGCCGATGATCGAGAGACAGGACTTTCGGGAGCTGGCGCCTAGGCAGGTCCAGCGGGTGGCCGCCCGCACAGTCAGGTTTTTTTTTGAGGGGGGGCGTCGCGGCTCTGCGTTAGATGGGCGACGACACTTTTTCCCAGCTCTTCGAGGCCAAAACCACCGCGCGTGGACGGGGCGCCACAAAGAGAGCCTCAGCTCTTTGATGTCACAGCATCAAAGGCGCCAGGCAGAGCAGGCCAGGCATGGCAAATCAAATGTCGCAGAGCGCAAGCCGTGCAAGTCCGCGCCATGGATTTGGCCCCCCAAGGTGGCGGCTGTCTTGTAGCTCACAGGCCAAGACCTCGAGAAGGCCGCCTCTGGGCCCCCCCTGTCCACATTTGGGCCTCGGAGGTCGACGTGGTCTCGGGTGCGCGGGCCGGCGCGCGGGCGCCTCTCAGGGTGGATCTCCGCGGGCGGCTCCGCCCTCTACCGGGCGCGCCCTCCGACCCGGCGCGGGCTGGGGCGTCGCGCGATTGGGGGGCAATCGCGATATGATTGCTGCCGTGCTTGGGGCAGTTTCCCTGGATTGGGTGCCGTTCCACGCGGTTTGAGATGTCGAGGACAGCGCGCTGCTCGCGGCCGCCCGATGCCGCGCGCAGCGCGAGGCCACCTTCGACGCCGTCTGCCAGGGCACCGTTGACTGCATCAGTGACCCTATGCACGCCTGCAGCGTTGGAAGTCGCAGATGCCGCATCTGGGGAGATTTGCATCGTGCGTCGAAGGATTGTCGGGCGATCGAGGTGAAGGCCCACTTGCCGCGCCGCGCGGTGTCAGAGGGGAAAGTCACGGAGTTCGACTGGCAAGGGGGCCGAGCGGCCGACTTACATGCTGGCCAAGGTGCGGCCGCTCACCCAGACGCGGCCACCGGCTATCAGCTGCTGGAGACGCTCGGGGCCTCTGTCAAAGTGGCGCCCCACTGGGCCGCCGCGGGCGTCGCCATGGCTGAGCGCGAGCAGTTTGACAACCCCCCCTTTCCTCCTCCTCGGGGCAGAGTTGGCGAGGCGCGGACTCGGTCGGGCCGGGGGCGGCGAGGTAGGCCCGACAGGCCGCGGGCGCGCCGGAAACGGCAGCCAAGCAGGTCTCTGGAGCCAGACCAACGGCGCGACCTCAGGACCGTGCCTTGTGGGGGCACCTGCCAGCGCGGGCGACGGTGTTTCTCCCGACGGGCAGTCGGCCTGGGCCCCCGAGGCCCGCGCGCGTTTGTTTTTGTTTGGGTGGCGGGGGTTGCGCCTGGGAAGGCGCCTTCTCTGTGGCTCAGCCCCGCGGCGGGACTGCTTCCAGCGGTCGCGCTGTGCCGTCGGCGAAAGCGGGCGCTCAAGTTGAAGTCCACCTCGCGGCCCCTAGCGGCGGGCGCTCGATTTGAAGCCCTCCCGGCGGCCCCGCGCCGCGCAGAGGGTGGGCGATTTGAAGCGAACGGCCCTGTCACTCCAGGTTCTGGTTCATTAGCGCGCGCCAAATGCTCGGCACCCCAGACGCCCGGCTGCCAGTTCGGCCCAGGTGGGGACAGGCCCCAGTCGAGCGGGCAGCTTTCAGCAGAGAGCCACTCTGGGCGTCGTGCCCAGGCGGACACCAACCATTCCAGCGCGGCACGTGCGATGCCAGGTGGCGCCCCCATGTCTGGCGATGAGGGTCGCCAAGTGCGCCCGACCAAAGTTTCTGATGACGGGGGGGCGCCGAGCCCGTCTCGCCGACGCTGCAGCGCATGGGGTATAGAATGGCCACCAAGGCAGATTTTGAAGGGATCCAGTCGTCTGCCAGCAGGCGCGAGGGTGATTGCCGCGTGCTCAGCGGCAGAATGTCAACGTTGGAGTCTCAGATGCAGACAGGGCTTGACGCAGCTCAGGAGGCAGCGCTACATGCCAGGTTGAAGGCTTGGGCCACAGCTCTAGGTAGGGAGCCAGTCCAGTCCAGACGCAGCCAGCACACGTTGGTCAGGCCTTTATAGTCTTCAGGCATGTCTCTCCCCAGGTGGCAGCGCGGGCAGTCCCCTGGGTCTCGCGCTGCGGATTGCGCGGGCTCGGGCAGCTACGAGCAACGCTCCGACCCTAAGAAAATCTGGACCGGCGGCCTCCAGTCCCCCATGCTCGCGTGCGCCATGGTCTTTTTCACGAATCACAAGGTGATCCCGCATTTGACGTCTCGCAGCAACAGAGCCTTCAACGTTTCCTGTCAGGTTACCAACGATGCGAAAGCATTCGCGGAGCATGTCAAGAACGCCGATGTGAAGATCGAGAACGCCAAGGGCGTCGCCCATTTGCGTGCTCGTCGCGACGCCAGTCCTGACGTCCGACGTCGCAATGTGGTCCTCGGCTGAGCGTGGCAGGGCATATCGCAGCATTTTGCTAGCAAGAAATCGGCAATGGCATCGGCCTGGGTGCGAACGGACCCAAAGGCATTCTCTTCTTCACGAAGGACGAGGAAGTCCACATCCCTCGCACGATGTCCGATAATGCCGACGCGCCCGCCAATCTGGAGCCAAACTTTGACGCGTTCAATTTTTTAAAATGGGAAAGGCCAGGTCTCGTCACTGGTTCGGAGTGCCATCGAGAAAGGGGGAATGCCATGTCTAGTGCGTCCGACCACGCGTTTGACCCGCGCGGGTGCCGGGCCGCTTCAAGTGCGCGGCCTTCAGTTGCGCGGGCAATGCGGCGGTCGTCATCAGCGTCGAGTTCCAGTTATGCATGCGCTGCTTCTTCTGCTTATTCGGCCCCCTCCTCCTTCCAGTTCCAGCTCGTCTGTTCCGCCCTCTCTGCCTGGAGCGAGGTCCCCTACCTGTGCAGCCAAACCGGTTCGCCCCGGCGCCGGTTCCTCGATTGTGACCTGGAAGGCCAGATTTTTCTGACCAGCCATTATACGTTTGATCGTTGTTTTGATTTCCCCAGGCCCACGGCGTCGCTTGCATTCAGGAGGCCCGCGGGGCCCAAGCAGATCTCGACCTGCTCGAGAAAGAGATCCAGGGAGTTCTCGGGGGAGGTACTTCTATAAAGATGGGTCAGCTGGGGGAGTCGCATTTTTGTGCATCCTCGGCTTAAGGCGCAATTTCACTTTCTCCGTCGTCGCGTTCTGGTCCCAGGGCGCATACACTAACTACGTTATCATTCATGGTATATTCATGGTAGTCTTCAGACCCAGCAGCGCTATTTTGCAGCAGATAGGAAAGCTTCGGCATGCTCGCATTCACGTGCGGCGCGCTGACGCCTGCGCAGCCTTCCTGGTTGGCGACTTCAATTTCATGCTGAAAGAGGGGTCATGCCACGCGACTGGGAGGGTGAGGTATGGGAGCTGCGGTTGGGCACAATAGTTCAACGCGCCTCTCTCGGATCTTCGCGAAGTCGAACAACATCATTTCACGCGTCGCGTGATGGGCGCGGGTGGCGACGGGCCCGCGCCGGCGTCCGTGGCGCAGTCTGATCGATTTTATTCCCATATGCCCAGCGCAGCCCTGCTCGATTCCAAACCCAACAGCGCGTTGCTCTGGACAGCTAGTGGGGGCTGGCCTTTTTCTGACGACGTTTTTTGGGCCCCGCCGTTATATCGGTCTCGTCCGGAAGGTTTTCGGGCCCCGCCTTGGGCCGCCAATCGCAAGATGCACGGGAATTTATAGGGGGATTCTGGGGGGGTTGGGCACGGGGCCCCCGACCACCACGTTGCCCTCGAGGAAACCAAAAACATCATCAAGGCTGCCGCCAAGGTGGCCATTGGTTACACCCGCTCTGCAGGCGCCCTTTCCGCCGCTGGGAAGGCCCATTGGGCCCTCGCGGCCCTGCGCGCCACTCAGCAACGTTTATAGAGCTGGAGCAGAGGCGTTCGACCCAGAATCGGCCAGTGTCGAACGGTCTGACGCATCAGAATCGGGGGCCTGTAAAGGGGGTGGTGACCACACCGGGTGTTGAGTCGGTGGGAGTTCGGGGTCACCGCACGGTTTTTGGATTCGGGTCGTTCTCCGAAGATGTCTCGGGCGACTGGAGCCTCCAGGGTCCCAAAACCGTGCTCTGACGGACCGTGCGGTGAGGTCCTGGGAGATTTCGAGGTCACCGCACGGTCTGTCACCGCACTGTTTCGGGACTCCACACGGAAGCGGCCGATCGCTCAAGGTTGAACGGTCCCCGCGGCGTCAGAAGCCAACGCCGAAGTCGGCACGACACGAACCTGCCGTAGGCACAAATTTTAGGATGTCCGCGTCCATTTCCTGGATCAGCGCTTGGCCCTCCTCCCTGGCGCGCGCCGTGCGCCAAGAGCTGCGCCGGAGAAGCTGCCAGGGGGTCCAACGCCAATACATACGATCCGCGCGGGCCGCCGAAAGCTTATGCCCATGCTGCGTCTTCCTGCTTTAGAAGGGAATGCCTTATTTTTCCCTTCCTCTGTTAATTAAAGCTGTGCTCGGCCCGCTTAGCTTCGACCGGAAGAGGCTCGCTCTCGACCCGCGAATCAAAAACTGTTCTAGAGGGGAAGGGGCGAGGTAGGGAGGCAGGGCCAACTCCTGGGTCGTCCGCTGTGGGCGCCCGCCCTGGGAGGAGGACGAGATCTTCGAGATGGCGGCCCGCGGCGGCGAGGAGAACGAGGAGAAGGAGGGCGACGGGAAGGACTCGGGGACGCCAGCAGTCCCCTCGTCGGACCCAGGCGCCGCGACACCAAGAGAACAAGCCAAGCTGTGGGTGCCCCGTCGCGTGGGGCCCCTGGGATCCTCACGGATAGGTCCGGCAGGGGAGATGAGTCACAAAGATGGCGTCGAGATTTCGAATCGTGATTTTCACGACGTCGGACGCGGGATCCGACTACGCCAGTCTTGTCCAGAGGCTCCAAGACCACCTCCGATATTGAGGTCTCCACCTGCCTTCTGGAGATTGATCCCTTTCATTGTGGACGATTTGCCCTGCTGGAGCTTTTTGCGGGATCGGGGATCGGTGGGTGCTTCTGAGCATATTCACCGATCCTGGCCATGCCAGGATCGGGTGGGGTTCGATGCCCAGCCAAGCACGGCCCTAAGAAGTATTCACCTTCGGCAAGGGGCTTGGAATTCCCTACCAGATCTGTTCGCGTCGAGTTGATGGTTCAAGACGGAGGAATTCTCTGCACCCTTCGAGATCCCCTGGTTGAGGGTCTGATCTCTCATCGGGTATTTGTTTCTGCCTGCGCTGGACCACAGGCGGGTAGCAGGCGCCCGTCCCCCCCCCATTCCGAGAGGATAACGAGGCCGATGGAGCGCAGAACGCAGAGATGCAGGACGACCTGAACATGAAGCAAATGGCTGGCAACGACAAGGCCGCCTCCTCCTCGTCCTCCTCGTCCTCCTCCTCCTCCTCCTCCTCCTCCTCCTCCTCCTCCTCCTCCTCCTACCAGATCTAGGTGCACAGTTTGTTGGTCTTCCAGTAAGCACCGATGGGAGCTGGCAAAGCAACAATGCACCATGTCACACGGGACTGGTCACATTGTGCGACGAGTGGGGCAATGTGTATTCTGTCGCCAATGTGGAGCCCGCTCGTCAACCAACGTATCCAACCAGAAGTATCGCCTCCAGCATGTCATGGACGGCCGACACCCTAGGGCAGGAGTCATCATTGGCGATGTCTATCGTGTGGGCAATGCCTTTCAAGGTGACTTCGCATTAGTCCCTTACTGAGATCCCTGATGCCTGTTTTTTCGTCTTGCTCGTGTTCTCGTGGGACGCGCCGGTCTCGTGGCGCGCCGTACCCAGAATCCCAGAATCCTCCCCCTTCCCACTCTCGGGCTGTGCGAGGCCCAGGACAAATCGTTCCGGAGCGTTCCAGAACGCTCACAGAGCGTTCCAGAGCACGCTGGAGCGGCCGCGGCGAACAATACTTTCTCCAGGACCGCCGGATCGCAGAGATCCCCGATGCATCCTGGCCCGATTTGATTTTGGTCCCAGTCTCGACTTGGGTCCTCCTCTTTCTCCCCCATCTCCCTCCTCCTTACCCATCGGTCGTTAAAGGTAGGTATACTTGGATTCCCAGATTCCAATATACTTTAAGCGCCTTTCTGCTTCAATGATCGAGTGGCTTCACCTTTTCCGCCCACCTTAGGGGGCGGACAGAACCCTATCTAGTTCCAACGCCTTCCTACTTCATGTTTCTACCTACTTCTTCCGACCGATGGGTAGCCTCTCTTCTCCAGGATTTACCGGCTACCAAGAAGAAGAAGGGCAGCAACGCGAAGTCCAGGTGGGGCTTCGGCGCCAAGGCGGGGGGCAACAACGGAGGGGGCCACGAGGTCGCCAAGGCAATGGAGGAGTCCGATGGCAGCAGCTTCAGGACCTCCTCCTCCTCCCCAGCTGGCAGCGTACCGAAGCGGCTCAGCATAAGATGCGTCCACCCGAAATGTGGATCATCGCCCATTGATCTCGTTTGGGCGCAGGTCTACGAGGCTGGCCATGCCCCCGAGCCCCCAGTGTAACCAGCGGGTCTCGTCACTCACTGGCCCCTCGGCCAGGAACCAGCGGAGGTGGAGGAAAACCCCGCGCTCTGGCCAAGCTTCGAATGCATCGTGGTCGGGGTCGCTCGGTCGATGTCAGTCTTGAGCTCCCGGCGCCGCAGGAACACCTCCGTGCCCACCACCTACAACGAGATGTTCTTCTTCAATGCCGCGGTCATGGGCTTCGGGCAGAGCTCTTGGATGAACGAGGTCCTGGCCTCCTTCGATACTATCGTCACGAACGTGGCCAATTCCTACCGACTGCAGGAGGAGTGCGACGTGTTGTCGCTGCGCATCGCGAAGTATAGAGGCACGATCAACCTCTCCGAGTACAAGGCGGTGATGCTGGCCTCCCTGCGCTCGCTGGTCCCGAAGGACTGGAACTCCCTGCACGAGACGGCGTGGTCGTGGCTGTGGGAAAACGTCGAGAGGATGCTCAAATCGCAGATGGGCAAACCGAGCTTGCAGGAGAAGGCCCTGGAGAAGCTCTGGGCAGGCCTGGACGAGCAGGGCCAGGCGTTCGTCCGCCGCGAGGTCTACGCCAAATTCTTCATGCTGGCCCCCGCGGGGCAGGACTACTTCAAACAGTCGACCACCCGCCTGCACTTCATCGCCGACCGCATTGTGTCCATGACGCTCGAGATCTACAAAGACCCCAAGAAGATGGTTCCCAATTGTCACGGAAACATGTTCCTCGCTATCCTCTTTCCCACTCTCGTTTCTCCCCGAGCATGGTGGAAGCATCAGGTCAGGAGTTTCCTCCCAAGGGTCAGGTCCCAGCGCATTCGGGGACCAGCCTCATTCGCTATCGACATCCACCCTACCGACACGCTTGATTTTGCCAGGAGACACTGAGCACTTCAGAGGACACGGGATGGAGGGAGGAGACCCTGGGGACGACCTCGACGATGCCAGCGATGCCTCCGCCGCCGCCGCCACTGCCGACGATGACGACGACGATGACGACGACGACGACGACGACGACGACGACGACGACAGACGACCACGGACGGCTACGACGACGACGGACGGCAACGGCGACGCCGACGACGACGACGCCGACGCCGACGCCGGCGACGGCGACGGCGACGACGCTGCCGACGACGACGGACGACGACGTTCGACGACGACGACGACGACGACGACGGCGACGCCGACGACGACGCCGACGCCGACGCCGGCGACGACGACGGCGACGACGACGACGACGACGACGACGGACGGCGACGACGACGACGACGACGACGACGACGACGACGACGACTGACGACAACGGCGACGACGACGACGCCGGCGACGCCGACGCCGACGCCGGCGACGGCGAGGACGACGACGACGACGACGACGACGACGGCGACGACGACGGCGACGACGACGGTGCCGACAACGGCGCCGCCGACGACGACGACGACGACGACGACGACGACGACGACGACGGCGACGACGACGGCGACGCCGACGCCGACGCCGACGCCGGCGACGACGACGGCGACGACGACGACGACGACGACGACGTCGACGACGACGTTCGACGACGACGACGACGACGACGACGACGACGACGACGACGACGACGACGACGACGACTGACGGCAACGGCGACGCCCACGACGACGCCGACGCCGACGCCAGCGACGACGACGACGACGACGACGACGACGGCGACGACGACGGCGCCGACGACGGCGACGCCGACGACGACGACGACGACGACGACGACGACGACGACGACGACGACGACGACGACGACGACGACGACGACGGCGGCGACGACGACGACTGACGACGGCCTGCACAGCGCTGCCCGTGGTGCCCAGGAGGGCGCGCCTTGCGGAGGACTCTGCCTCGGGGGGGCTCTAGGGGCGATTCCTTCGGCCAAGCGGTTGAGGGTGGCTCCTGCTCGCTCGCTATGACAAGGGCCCGATTCGGCTCCAGGCCCGTTTCAGCTCCGCCTGTCTGCTTCGGCCTCGGCCCGCTTCGGCCTCGGCCCGTTTCGGCTTCGGCTTTCGGCTCGGCCCGTTACGGCTCGGGCCGGAGCCGAAGCGGTCCGGGACGAGGCGGGCCGAAGCCGAACCGGGCCGAGGCCGAAACGGGCCGAAGCCGAAGCAGACCGTGGGAGCCGAGATTGGCCGGAGCCGAACTGGGCTGAGGCCGAAAGCCGAGTGCGGCCTCTTCCGATGGTCGGGGGCGGGAGCTGGTCGGCGGCGCGCACAGGGGGATGGCGCGACGGGTGCCTTTCTCAGAATGCGGGGGGGCTTCTCAGAGAGCAGGGGTTCTTCTCACTTTCGGACCGAGGTATCAGATCGAGGTCTGTTCGGGGAGGGTGACCTAGTGTTCTTCGTGTCTATTGCATGTTTTTGTGCATCCGGGGGGAGGGCACCCTCGAATGCTCTTCAGTTTGGGCCTGCGGATGGTCTCATGCTCTTGGAGGATGTTCGTCTGTCCTAGGTCCGGCCGTCGGAAGGCCCAGAGGCCTCAAAGGAAGACTTCTCAGAAGCGCCGTGCCTTCTTGGGAGCACGCCTGGCTTTAAAGGCCGCCCCCCTCGCGCCATCCCCCTTGTGCGAGCCGCCAGGCTGGAGCTGGGGGATACGAAATCTGCCGTGTGCAGCTGGTGTCGGGACCGCCGTTTGTATCATTTCGCTTATACAGGGTCCAGGGTTCAGGATTCGCGGGCCCCCCCCCCTCCCCTTCCCGCATGTGACGGGCCCCACTGCGCCCCACCCCCACCCACCCCCGAATGCGATATGGGGGCGGGCAGGCGCACGCGCGCACGGGCACGCCACAACATAGCAAGACACAACACGTCACACGCACGCGCGCGCGCGCGTACGCGGGCGCGCGCGCGCACGGCCACGCGCCCTCGCGCACAAGTTCACATGCGCGCACGCCCGCAAGCGCACGCGCCCACCCCGTGCCGCACAACATCACACCCACAGGGGGGCTGGGGAGGGGAGGGGGCGGAGAACGAGACGCATCAACAGGGGAAGGGGGGGCGAACCCATTACCACGGGGAGGGAGGGGAGAGGGAAGGCAGACCTTGGATCGTACATGGTCGCTCTGGGCGCCAGGAAGCGCCAGGAAATGCAGCTGCACGCAGCAAAAGAGAACGGAGGAGAAGAGGTGCGAAGTCGAGGATGGGGTGAGGAGAAGAGAGACGAGAGGAGGGGAGAGGACCGGAGCGGAGGAGGCCGGGCCAGAAGCGGAGAGAAGGGAGCAGGAGTGGAGGAATGCGAGCATGATGGGGACTGAGATGAGAGGAGTCGGAGGACAGGCCAGGAGAGGTGAGGTGAGGAGATGGAAGTTGGGCGAGAGGAGACAACAAAGCGGAATGGCGCAGGCGAGAGGGACTGAGGGAGGGAGAGCGGGAGGGGAAGGAGAGGGGAATTGGGCAAGGCACGGGAGTGCAGGAGAGCGGAGAGGGCAACAAGGCGGAGGCAGAACAGGAGAGAGTAGCGGACAGGGCAGGAGAGGGAGGCGTCGGACGGACAGTGCAGGCGGGGAGACGCGACCAGGGTCTGGGAGAGAAGGAGAGAGCAGCGAGGGCGGGAGGGGAGGAGGGGGATCTATCAGAGCAGAAGGCCAAGGAGACGGGGAGCGTGAGGGGGAGTGGGGGAAGGGGCAAAGGGGGAGGCGAAGGGGGGCAAAGGTGCAAACATCAGGCGAGGTGACCAAAGGATAATGGTGGCGAAAAGGATGGGATGTGAGGAGGGGGATGGGGAAGATAGAGATGAGGGGAGTAGGACAGGGTGCCATGTGGCATGCACAACCAGGCCGTCGTTCCTCGTCCTGTCCCCGCCCTCGTGCGCTGCACAGTCCTCTCCGGAACCCACGCTGGCAGATGGCTGGCGTTGCGGAGGAGACGCATCGTTGCGCGCACGTTTCTCGTCCTTGGCCTGCGGCACGTCGGCCACAGGATCGAGGGCCCTTGACCCCTCGAGATTCAAGGATCGAGCGATCGATCCTCGACCCCCTCCCCCGCACACAGCTTTACGCCGCAGCGCGGCAGAGGCAGTCCGCATGCGCGATCGGGCAAGCTGGGCGACGGCAGTGCAAACTGTCTGGATGCAAGGGGGGAAGGCGGGGGAAGAGAGGAGCGGCCGCGGGCACGGGGCGGCGTCGCGACCACACCCAGGGGCCAGGGCAGCGGCTGTAGTGCGGGAGGTCGACGTCCAGCACGCGGAAGAGGTGGGCGCGGGGGGCAGCGGCAGCGGAGCCGAAGAACGTCCCAAGCGGCACGATGCAGAGGGACGGGGTTGGGCAGGCTGCAGGGCGGGCTGAGCCGAGGGCAGTGGCCGCATTGGCGGGGCGCCCCCCCCCCCCCCCCGCACACAGGTGGAGGACATTTCCGCGCTCGGCCTGCGGCACGTCGGCTACGGCATCCCCACCGACCTGTTTGGGTCCTTCGTCACGGCCTGCGTGCAGGTCGTGCGCACCCTCACGGACGACGACATTGCCGAGGAGGCCTTCAGGTGGTCGATGGGTCCCTCCTGCTCCTGGTCCTCCCCGCCCTCTCCGTCGGAATCCTCATCCTCAGCCTGCCACCGTTCAGGTGGTCGTTGAGCCTCATTTCGCGCATCCTGACGCGCGTAATCACGGAGGGCTCCACGATTGTGATGAAGGCCATCAACACAAATTCCGGGAAGGCTCTGAAGAAGGCGGTCGCCTGCGCGCCACGCGGCAAGCGGGCGCTGTGGATGCTCAACATCCAGGTCGGCACGCAGTCCATATCCCCATTCATGTGGGCGATCGAGACGGGCAGCCTGGAGGCGGCGAAGGCGATTATCACGGACCTCCTGACGATCAGGGCCGACCGCGACCGCTACTACTACGGCATGGACACCCTGTTCGAGCGCCACCCAGATGTGGTGAAGAGGATCTGCGCGGAGGCCCCCGCGCTGCTGACAACGCTGCTGGACGGTCTGGTGTGGCGGTCGAGGACCACGGAGAACGGGCAGAGGCGGGTGAATTACTACGTGAAGCACCTGCTGGTCGACAGCGAGGGGGGATTCGCGAAGGCGATCGAGTGGGTGACAGAGAACGGCGACCCGAAGATCGTAAGCCACCCGGTGCTCTCCATGGTGACGGACGTCGTCTGGGGTCGGATCGCCTTCAGGACCTTCTTGCTCGGAAAGGTGTGGCTGCTCATGACGCTGGTGGTGTTCGTTATCGGCACCTCCGCGCTGAAGCACACCACGTATGCGACCACCACCGATGCCGTTCGCTACCTCATCGCTGGCTGCCGCTGCTTCATCTACTTGTTCAGCATGGGCCAGTGGCTGTACTATCACGCGAAGCACACCGCCAAGGACGTCAAGACCAGGAACTTTGTGCGCGTCGGAATACTGCCACTTCCAGAGTACCTCACCGGCTTCCAGGATGCATGCAGCTTTATCCTCATGATCGGTCTGACTTCGATGCTCGCCACGGAGCCTGTCATCCATTGCATGCCCCATAAAGATGAGAACTTCGAGGGCAACGGCTTATTCACCGAGTTGTGCCCCCAGGCGGACACCCTGCGGAAGGCGTACAGTTGCATGGCTGCTTTGGCCACCATCATGTACTTTGCGCTCACCATCGATCTTTCGGTCTTCAGCACCCGCTTTTCCGCCTTCGTGCTGGTCATCTTCCGCGTGCTCGCGGAGGTCGGCCTTTTCCTGGCTGGGCTTGTCGCCGTCCTGTTCACCTTCAGCTGCGCCGTGAGCGCACTCGATCACCAGCACAATGATTTCGAGGGCATCCACAAGGCTCAGGGGCAACGAGGGGAGGAGGTACTTGCGCGCATGGGGGGGGGACGCGTTGACCCTGATTCGCTCACTGATCGCTCATAGGGGTCTGATATCCCACGCCGCCCAGGAACGAGCAGCTTCGCAATCGGAGGCCTATCTCCGACATATATATACATATATATATATATATATATATATATATATATATATGTCGGCGATGTGTCGCCGAATTCAGGCCTATGCTTTCGCCACTGAGCCAGCCCCCCCCGATCTTTCCCCCTAAAGGCAGCCCTCTCGATGATGCAAATCACCTTCGGGATGTACAACACCACGGAGTACGAGCTCATGGGCGACGAACAAGCTTTGCTGACCGCAATCGTCCTATACATCATCGTCACTGTCGTGTTCTTCTCGAACCTGCTGATCGCGCAGCTGAACTGCGCATACCAGTCCACATACCAGGACTCTCCGTCTCTCCTCCTCTCTTTTCCTTGCTGGGCTGCCGTTGTGTGGCTACGTGATATAAGTGGCCAGTTGGGCCGCAGGGGATCGTCGCTCAGCGCCCTTGCCCCTGTTCTTCTCCTCCCCCTCCGCTTCCTCCGTCGACGCAATCGCGTCCAGCGAAGTTCGATTGAGCAGCGTGCTTCGGTGGAGTGAAAGTATGGTGTTCGCGGCGAAACAAGAGGAAACACTCAAAACAACAACTCATGTACCAGGACTCGATCATCGAGAACAGGGCGCATGCATACATGTTTGAAGGTCCGCGCGGACCTTCGGGAGCTTATGCTCATTATGTGGCTATTCCTCTAAGGACATGGTGGGGTACGCGCGCCTGAACCGAGGAAAGGTGGTCACCGAAGCCATGTCCTTCGTGTCGGAGCAGCGCTGGGCGAAGTTCTTGGCGGCCCTTCGGCTGGAGGAGCGCTGCGAGTTCGGGGAGGGCGACATCGGGCTAGCGGGCGGCATCCAGGTCCTGGAGCCCGCCAGCGCAAACATCACCACGGTGGACATCCAGCTGCCTGCGGCAAGCCCCGCCACCGTGCCACACGGGGGGCCGTCACGTGTAGCACCTCGGGTCTCCAGGCTGGGGAGAGCCGTGATAAGGATGATGAAGATTCTGATGATGATGGGGTGATGATGACGATCATGATGATAAGGAGGATGAATCGTATGGAGGTGGTGATTGCGAGGATGGTAATGATGGTGATGATGCAGATGATGATGCTGATGATGATGATGATGATAATGATAATGATGATGATGATGGTGGTGGTGGTGGTGGTGATGATGATGCTGATGATGATCATGATGCTGCTGATGCAGGTGCTGTTGTCATTGTCGCTGGTGTTGATGCTGTTCGTGCTGCTGCTGCTGCTTCTGCTGATGATGATCACGGTACTGGTGATGCTTCTGCTGATGATATGGGCGATACTGATGATGGCGATGATATTGATGATGCTGATGATGGTGCTGTTGACGATGGTGATGATGATATGGATGATGCGTATGATGCTGCTGATGATGGTGATGATACTGATGTGGATGATGTTAATGATGCTGCTGATGACGATGATGTGGGTGATTATGTTGATGATGATTATGTTGATGATGGTGATGATGCTGATGTGGATGATGCTGATGCGGCTGCTGCTGCTGATGATGATGGTGATGCTGATGATGATGATGATGATGCTGATCACGATCGCGATCACGAGCACGACGACGGCAGTGATGATGATGCTGATGATAGTGATGATGCTGATGCCGATGATGATGATGACGATGATGATGCCGCTGATACTGCCTGATGATAAAGTGGATGATGCTAATGATGCTGCTGGTGATGATGTGGATGATGCTGCTGATGATTATGCTGATGATGGTGATGATACTGATGTAGATGATGCCGATGCGGTTGCTGCTGATGATGATGCCGATGATGATGATGATGATGATGATGATGATGATGATGATGCTGATCACGATCACGATCACAATCGCGATCACAATCACGACGACCACGACAGTGATGGTTATGGTGATGATGCTGATGATAATGATGATGATGCTGATGGTGATGATAATGATGACGACGACGATGATGATGATGATGCTGATGCTGATGATGGTGATGATGATGATGTGGATGATGATGATGATGATGATGATGATGATGATGATGAAGAAGAAGAAGAAGAAGAAGATGATGATGATGATGATGGTGGTGGTGGTGGTGGTGGTGGTGGTGATGATGATGATGGTGGTGGTGGTGATGATGATGATGATGATCATGATGATGATAATGAGCTTGATCATGTTGGTGGTGGTGATGATGCTGATCAGACCAGATCAGATCACATCAGACCAGATCAGAGCCCATATGGGGGCAGGCGGGGAATCCCATCCAGCGTCAGCCCCTAGTATTGGGCTTCACTCGAGCATCAGTTCGCGATGCGTGGCCACCCACCCTCGCGACTCACCGCAAGGGAGAACCACCCAGAAAACGCAGAGCGGCGCTCATATCAGCGCCACTCCACCATGCAGGAATCCCTTGAGAGGGCCGTGAGGCTCCATCCACCACCTGCTAACTGCCTCTCCTGATCACTACTGGGATGGTGGGCTCCTCGGGTCTGGGGGGGCGCCCCTGGGACCCTCGAATCAACTGAAATCCTCGCGCGCTTCTGTTCCGCAAGGCCTTCGCTCGCAGGACGACGTTCTCTGGGCCCTCCTCCCACCACCCCTCCCCTGCCCAGCGAACCAGACGCGAGCGTCAGCTCCGATATGCAGGGGTGGGGATGGGAGGGTCGCCGACGGGGCACGGAGGGAGCGGGTCAAGGCGCCTCGCCGGCTTGGCTGGCCCTGGCTGGGAATAGGAGGGATACGGGTCATAGGACGGAGGCTCGAGAGAGAGAGAGAGGAGCTGGAACCTCCATGATCGGCTTGCAGGCAGCTTGGCTCAGGCTTCTCACTAGCTGCTCACGTTTCGATTTCTTCTCTCAACTGGGGTCTCGATCACTCTGCCATCACGCTCCCGAGATCCTGCAGCCCTGTGTGGATCGGTCTCTCCATGTGGCCCATAATTGGGGCCGCCCCCTGCCTTGTAGTCGGCACCGATCTGGATCAGCGACGCCAACGCCAGTGCTATGTTGAGCCTATTACTGAAGGCCAGCACCAGCTTCGCTGTGCCCTCCTCGTGGCAGTCGGTCAGCTCCGCCATCGGTGCAACCTCTTCCATGTCTTTCACCGGGAGCGTGCCCTGCTGCTTGCCTAACTCCTCGAGCCGTTGCTGGCTGGTTCTGTCGACTGCCGTTCCTTCTGCCACCAGTCCCTCGTACACGCCCGAGAAGCACGGCACCGAGATCGTGCACGCGTCCGTGATTCTTTTTGTCCGCTTCGGCCTTGGTGAGCGACGCTCGGTGTCCTTCAGTTGCGCTGATCTACGCGTTGGTGTGTGCCCGCGCCTTCACCGCCGCCTGTGCTCCCCGGGCATGGTGAACGTCTTCAGCTCGATGGCGTTCAGCTGTCTCTGACGTAGTGCGATGTCGAGGATAAGTTTCATCAGCACTGGGAAGTATTTCTGCATTGTCCGCGTGTCGATCAGGTCCTCTTAGGGTCTTTCTTCCTCGAGTCACTCTCTTTTCCTTGCCCGCTGCCTGCCGTCGACGACGTTGGTCCTCGGGCACCTCTGGCGGCCTTCTTGCGCGACGGCTCGTCCACGTCCTGTAGCTCCGCTTTCGGCGACTGCAGCCACGACGACATGCGGCTGAGGCTGTGGGAGATGCTCTGCCAGCAGATGCTGTTGGAAAGTCGGAAGGACCGCGAACTCTTTAGCACATTCTTCGCTTGGGCAAGCAAAGCGCAGCGGTAGAACAATAGGGTAGCTAACGGTCGACTCGTGCCGGATACACGTTCCTGTGCGGTTGTCATGTGGTTGATGGTTGTTCTACGACACGCAAACGTAGATAGGCGTGATGGACATTGATTGGCGACCGTGTACTTAGTGAACATGTTCAGCTGTCTTTGCTCCCCTCCGCTACCATGTGTCTGATGTGCTCGTAGTGCATGCACCTTGCGAAACCTGCGGCCATACTCTAGGCCTTCTCCTCTAAGAAGTCTACAAGCATGTCCGCCTTCGAAACACTCCTGGACCTCATACTGCTTGATGGGTAGTGAGAGCTTGATAGTGGCGCAGTCGAAAAACGACGAGCTCGACGCTGGGGAGACCACCCGAATTTTCTTCCAGACGGCTTCCGCACATATGGTCGTGACCTTCCACCGTTCTTCCTCTCCTTCATCGTTCGGCTGTTGGTAGATCGCGATCCCTTTGCACAGAGCAATGGCAATGGCGTTGCGAACGGCAACCGAGTCGAGCTTATTTTCCGGATCTCAAGTCCCAGCACTGCAGCTCTAATGGCACGGCTTTGGAAGACGAGTCTCTTGTGGTCGAAGAGAGGGCAGATGCTCCAGAACTTCCCCGTGCCCCTCCACCCCGTTCGCATGGCAGAGCACCGTGCGCGCATCTCCTCGCCATTCCAGCCTGAAGTTTGAGCGCGGGCTCCTGGGAATACTGAAGTGGCCTGGAACTCGCCAGCGATGGGCACTCGATTGCGGTGAAAGGTGAAAGAGGAGGAGGAGGATGAGGAGGAGGAGGAGGAGGGGGAGGAGGATGAGAAGGAGGGGCTCTGTTGGGCTTCTGGGAACCCCGACCCGCGAAGCAGGGGCCGGCCGTCTTCTTGCACGACTCTGTGCCAGCCCAACTCGACCAAGTGCTGCGTCGAGGCGACGGTCGGAAGCCTCGACGTTCCCTGTCGCGCAGCACGCCTCAGGGACGACGCGCGTGCGAGCCAGGCCGCCAGAATACTTCCGAACGCCCAGATCGACCTTCTCTTTCGTGCTGGGGCAGCCTGCCGTCAGCTCGTGCACGCTGGGCGCGGGGAAAAAGGGTTCTCCTCCTATCTTAAGTGGGCAGCTCAAGCGCGACCCTGAGCTTCGTGGCCCCTATAAAGCATCCAACGTCGTCATGGCAGGTGCCGTCCTCGTCGTGAGCTTTCACAAAGCGCGCAGTCCTGGTCATCATGATCTGCGTGTCCTCAGGGCAGTACAGCGAGTGGAGTATCTGGTCGAGGTGGTCGTGGCTCGCGCTGGCGAACGCGTTCGTCGCGTCGTGCTTCGCCAGTTATGTGGCTCGCATTCGCTTCGCGAAGTCTCCACTTCAGCACCTTTCCACCCGCCAGTGCACCAATTCTGGATGATCCTCATGGTGCAGTACCACATCGTCTCGCAACTTCCGTGCGCCGACCCAACCTTTCCCAGCGCTGCGTAGCCCGTGGAGAAGACGTGCGCCGCGCGCGCGTGGCTTATGATTCATCCTGGTCACCCGGCACGTCTGAGGCAGGTTCCACCATGCGTTCAATCCCTGGCGCTGCCCCACGCCTGCCAGCTGCGCCAACAGAAGCTCATGAAGTATTGGCCTCACCACCGGCAAGCGATCCTCCCCCAGGCGTCGTTGACAAACGCCGCGCCTCCGTAGGCACTGACCATGTTGGCGCGTCGTCGGTGCAATCTGGAGAGCTTCTCGATGAGTCTTTCCAGGTCATTGTTCGCCTCAGCCCAGTGCTCCGTCTGGAGAGGGGGAAGTCCTGCTCGGCCGCCCGTTGGATGAACGCGTGCTTCTCCGCCCTTCGAGCTGCCGGCCCCCGTTCGCGTCCAGTTAGGGCCAGATCCCCCGCCCAAGTATGGATATCAGGCTGAGCGTCTGGCGGCATGTAGAAGTCTCTCTTTCGCTGTCCGAGCCCATTACCAGCCATGTCGAAGCAGACTCTCCATGCCACGTCCCCCCGATTGGCGCGTACTGCTGCGTCCAGATGGTTCACCAGTTCTGCTCCTCTCTCCATCCTCAGCTGCAGGCGCGCTTCCTTATACACTGTCGCGTACGCCACCGTAGTGCCTCGCGCTCTCAAGTTCGCCGTCAAGTCGATCCCACGCTGCCTTCCTCGCTCCCAATGC